ATGTTGCTGACAACTCAAAATGGGAATTATCAATTGTTCCGTTTGAATTTGTCGCTGTTGTTGACACTAACATGCTTTCTAAACATATAATGTATCTTCAAAAATACATAGCACCTACAGTTTCAACGAAAAGTTACCTCGACGTAAATAAGCGTAATAGTATGCAGGTTGTGGTATATGAATTGGTAGTATACCCGCTTTTGTAGCACGATATCTCCGCTGACGAGTCGTGGAGGTTTCACGTTTACCTTTACCCATAACGGCTCATATATCAATGTACAAAAATAAGTAGGTTACTTAAAAAGAAGCAGGCAAAGTTTTCATACAACGTAACGAGATTCATTTGAGCATCAGAAGCAGTTGTAGTATTCTTTTCGAGCGAGAGAGAGTACACACACTAACAGTCTAAAAATTGAGACGGAAAAGAATGCAGTTTCAATACAAACAGCCCAAACCACAAAAACATCCGAGAGAAAATTGACAAAACTAAATTAACGTTCAAATAACCGCTAATGTTTTTTCGATTTTTTTCTATCACCTTGTAGATCGGCATTATCACTAACATGGCCATCATTATTCATCTGTTTTCGTTTTTCTTGTCGCTCATTCCCAGCATTTCTGTCCGTACGCACCGACGAACGAGAAAATGCCCGATTACTATCGCTCTGCTTACCGGCAAGTGCATCTTTGTACATCGTTGAAACATCCGTTGGCTGTATCTTTTTTCTCTTTTCTTTATCGGGATGAGTTCGACGAAATATTTCACGAGCAGCACTAGTAATACTTCTTTTCTGACATGAATGTAGCAGTAAATCACTGTCTAAACCGAGCAGCTGTTCAAATTCAGCCAACTGCTCTGGAGTTACTTTTTCACGAACAAAAAAGTTACGTAATTCACATATCCATTCTATAGCTTCAATATTAGGAGCGGCTTTAAAGAAAGGAAAGCTTCAGAAAATAACGTGCTTCACAATAGAGCTCAGTACTTACGTAGCGTATTTGCACGTAATAAATTATAATCATCTAATAGTTTTCCGCATTTGTTTTGTAGTTGTAAGTGTTCAACATACCGATCGTTATATTGATCTTTCAATTGTTTCACTGGATGTGACGACGGTGAGACATCTGAACCATCAACAACCAATGAAAAATTCAGTTTCTTCCCAGGTTTACTTACTGAATAAATTTTTGCCGGTGGTCTCGTACGTTCACTCGGCTGTTCACTAATTGTACCACTGCGATGAAAAACTAAGAAACTCTAAGAACGTTGAAGGTAAGTTGACCAATTGATTAATCGACATTTTGAGCTAGTTTTAAAAAATGACAAAATATTATATAGAATAAGGTTATCCTTTCGCTCTCACTTCATCCTTATCCTGAAAATGTCACATAACGTATGCTATTTCCAAATATAATTCATTC